CCTCAAAATATTAATAATGAGTCTGTTAGCTCTGGGCTACTTTATTCAGATAGAGAGATACTCCTAGCTAGAGCATACCAAACAAAACTGGCTAAGAAGCGATTTGTTCCAGACAATCCAGATAATAATATAGGTATTCCTAAAGGGTTTTTGACAGATTTTTTTATTAATTTACTACATTTTATTAATGTGTTAACTTAAATTATGCTCGTGAATACATTTTATCTCTCTGAAAGAAAAGCATCAATATTTTAAACTGCGATCTCCATCCAACCCACCTGCCAAGCGTGGGGATTATGGCAAAACCCTCCACTATAGTGGAGAAGGCTCATAGTCCAGCAGTGGACTGTAAAGGGCTGTTGATGATGATGATGATTCATCATCATCAACAGCCCTTTACACCTCCACTATAGTGGAGGGTTTTGCCATAATCTCCACGCTAGGCAGGCGGGTTGGAGATCGCAGTTTAAAAGATTGATGTTTTTCAGAGAGCGCTGCTGCCCATTCTCTGTTTGATGTGTAGTCCCTAAGTCGCCTCTTACGACACCCGCGGGATGAGTAGGTAGATGATGATGAATACATTTTATAAATTCAATCTAAAGAACAAAATTAAACGGACAATAAATTGGTACTGAATCATATCTGCCACATAATATGGGATTTGAACCCATAACCGCTATGCGCTGGATTCGTAATCTGGGTCGCAAACATGGTCATCGAATTTAACTTTTGATTACTAATATTTCAGTGCTGATATTGTTTTTGTCGCTAAGTTACTCATAGAGTTGAATGCCGTTGGGGCAGAAAGGTTCTATAGTGGCGATCACGGGATGGAAGACGTAGCGTGGGCAGGCCTCCCACTAAGTGGACTGACGATCTGGTGAAGGTAGCGGGAAGTACAGTCGTTGTGGAAATCCTTGGGAGAGGCCTTTGTCCAGCAATGGACGTTATTTGGCTGACGAACGAATTGTTTTACCTTCAAATATACACCTACGTTGAACATGTCGAGTTGCTAAGTTGACATGTTTTAATATAAACCGATCCTCCCTTTATTTTTAGACCGTATAAGCCAAGTATAAAAGGACTGGTCGGGACCGGTAACGGCCGGCGGGAATGGGAACTCATCCCGGTGAAGGGAACGAAAAAATCGTAGAAATTGTATTCCAAACAATTTTGTGGCAACCCTTTTGGAACAGCCATCGAGCTTTCAATATGAGTCATGATTACAACACGTTTACGATCCTCGTGTTTGTATACAAATGACAAGACACGGAACTATTTCCACTTCTCGTGCCCACCGCTGCAACTCCAGTGTAGCCAGGATCTACAGCTTGACCGTCATTAAAAACCCAACCAGTGAAGTTGAAGTTTGTCCCGGGGAAAGTTAACTGTCATTGGACCCGCAACGAAATTAATCAGAAGATAAGAGGAGTTCAGTTGATGATGACATGACAGTGCATCATACTCTTTGTTGCAAAATTACCTATTAGCTATTATAACTTGGTAAGATGTCGAAAATGACAGCTTAAAGTGCCGCTTGTTGGTGCTGGTAGACTTGCTCACAAAATCAAATAGCTTCACTTTTCTAGACGCTTTTGGCGTTTTTGTTGACCAGTTGTTTTTTCAAGGATGAGACGATGATGACAAAACAGTTATGCTTCTATGCTTCTCAATACTTACCCGACGGTATTTAAAAACACATTAGCAATACAGGTAGCGACGGGTGGGATGTGACACGGTTGTGTGATTAGTACGCGTTACATACAGTATTATGTAATTATGTATCGCGTTAGAACTTTGAGGAGTTGGAGGGTAATGCCTCTTCTTGGAGGATGATACGTATAATGGCCCGGACTGTCAAAACAATAATCCCCTGGATTTTAGACCACATGCTATTACACAAATTACAGTTATATTAAGGTGGACCAAGTATTATCTATGTTGATCCTTCTAAATTCTAAAAGATAAGCTTTTTTGATTGATGCTGATCAATTCTGACTTAGGTATCGAAGTTTGTGCCTAGTATAAACTAGTTAGGACAAGAAACTTAAAGCAAGAGTAATAGAATTTTTGGTAGTGTATTACAAACTTATTAAAGGATAAATTAAAGAAAAACAAAAATGTTCCAGATGTATGAAAAAATTGCAACAAGAAAAACACCAATTACTTAGAAAATAGAAAACAGAGGCATCATTACTGTAAGGTTGTTGTACCTTTACAAGCATTGACGAAAGAAACAAGCAGAAAAGTAATAGTAGGTACATCGCGTATTACTGATTATATCTTTCGATCTTTCGTTATTTGGAATTTTGTTATTAGTAACGTGTTCAAAATTATACAGGGTGTCGCTTTAAGTATGGATTAAACAAAAAGGAAGGAATTTTACGGCACAAATGCAACAAAGTTGTTGAGAAAAGGAAGTTCAAATCTCACAAAAAAAACCTTTCCATACAAACTGTTATAAGTAACAGCAATTTTTTTTTTTAAATTTAGATGTTGCTTCTATAGGAAAGATGTTGCATTTGACTAATAGAATCCATACTTAAAGCGACACCCTGTATAACAGACACAGACAAGCCCTAATTCGTTGGTTTAACTTCGGCATTGTTTGAACACAGTCCACATTGGATTCAGCAATATCAAAAGCTGTCGATTCAGCGCGCCATGTTGATTTTGTCAGCCATTTTGATGTTATTGGTATTAACGTTAGCATTGTTAGTGTTGGACTCTTTCTATCCTAAGTTACTGGGTTTGGTTCCCAGATGATCTCAACAAATTAGGTTTACTTGAAATTATATCATTCTCTAATAATTTTAACTGCAAAAGAACTGATAGCTGATCATGAGAAGTTCTAGAATTAATACTTATCTGAAGACCGAGTCTTAGTAAGGAAAGTGTACTAAATTTTACTCATGCTAGAAGAAAATAGCCAAGGTTCGAGCGTATCTAGGTCGGCAGAATATACAAGATAGAAGTTCTGGCATTCCCATGGTCGAAGAACGTAGACAAGGATCGAGCTCATCAGTAGAGAGGAAGAAGAAAAAGAGGCTTATGACGGCAGTAGAATGATAATGATGATAATCAACAACTAAACTTAATAGTTCCAAAAACAAATTAATTTGTAGCTTTATCACTGGAAAATTACCAGCTATCTATATTCATCCATAACACAAATACAGTCTGTAACTGGAAATGAAAGTCCTCAATGTACAGTCATCAGCACAGACTATAAATTTTTGTTGCAAACTCGAACCTATTGCAACGGCATAATGCCATGACATGTCTGTACAGACGAGAGCACATCAAGCTTCACACTGTTGTGATCTTATGTAGCCATAATAAGGTTGAGTTTGCAGAAAAAACGTATAGTCTGATATGCTGTCGGCTGTACAAACAAACTGAAAGTGGAAATGAAAATTTAATTCTGACAATGGGATCAGCCATCCCGTCCTCCACATTAACCCAGTTTCGCGGAAACGGGATACACGGCGATTTCAGTTGATACCGTAATTACGCGATAAAAATTTAATAACCTACTTTCTTTGGTTTCCTTTCAAAGTGCAAATCTTAATGCGGGTTGCAGACTAACGCCCGTATTCACAAACGATACTTGCTTAAGTGAAGCAGCAAATCGAATGCACAGCGTTGAATAGAGCTCTGTGATTGGTTCCTGTATCACCTTGTGCGTCCACGCGCACTGAGAGACCTCATATTAATGTTTGTGAATAAGTACGGGCGTAAAACACTTTCAAGATAACTACGTATTCTATCGTAGTTATCTTGGTTTTGAATAGTCATAGGGCTATGGTAATATTCACAAAATGTGGTGTACCTACTTACCTACTTTTAGTTGTGTGCTCCAGACAATTTTTATTGTTTGGTCCAAAGGCTAACTGGTAGAATAAACTTGATTGTGATGTAAATCAGTGGCTTATAATTTGAAAGACCGTATGCAGTAGGTACCTACAGATGACGGCACGTAACTTTAACACTGGTGTCTTATTTTATTAGAATTAGGTGCGATTTTCCAACAAAAATGTACAGCCTGATGCGCTGATGACCGGACTTGCCGAATCCTGCACCCCAGCTCATTAAATCAGCGTGGCCGGCTCGGGCAATTTGTTTGTCTGTCTGCTGTCACGGGCAGCCGGCCCCTCTGATATTGGGTTATTAATTCCGGTAATTGCAAAATACGCGCGCCTGGGGCTTAAGCCAGTTAGAAACGCCAGGAGAGTTGGTCTTTTAGATCTTTGGTGGGTTGTGCTGAAGATTGTTTTTTGTAACTGTTGCAAAATACGCGCGCCTAGCCTAGGGCCTAGGTTAGCTAGAAACGCCAGGCAGGGAGTAGGCCAGTTAGAAATACCAGGCACGGACGAAATAGGCCAGTTAAAAACGCCAGGAAAAAGATCTGACGCAGAATGTGCACTTGGCAAAATGAGCTCTCGACTCAAACGGCGCATTTCTCATAAGAGACACTTCTGGACTTGCCAAATACTGCACCCTAATTCATTGAAGCAGCATGGCCGGCTCACGCTCTCTTCTTGATACCTTACTACTTGATATAAACTTTAATTATTTTAACCGTTTCATACTTCTTTTATTGTACAACATTTAAGTTGTGTTGTGGCTGATTCTGCCGAGTCTTGGCTCGGACATGTCTATTAATATTTAATGACGTCATTTTGGTTCGTTTAATTAAGTGTCGTATGCTATGATCGGACAACTTGCTTAAAAAGTCGACGGAATCGAACTGGTCGATTCCTCGAGTGGTCAATCTGATAATCTAATTGGGCTACTTTCACTTCTAAAGTCTTAATTTCGTTGAGGGTCCAATGGATACCTAGTTTATCTTTCCCTCGAGACAAACTTGACCTTCACTGGGTTTTTACTGGCGTTCAAACTATAGATCCTGGCTACACAGGAGTTGCAGCGGTGGGAGCGAGGGTGGATATAGTTCCGTATCTTTCTTCATTTAATAACATTATCCTCATTGTCCACAGTACCCTGGTGCCATGGAAGATCTTCCGCGAGGAGTTGAACAACGTGCACCCCATCTCGTCGGGTCTGGAGACGATGGCCCTCAAGACCACCATAGACCTCACCTGCAACGACTTCATATCGAACTTTGAGTTTGATGTGTTCACGAGGTCAGTGGATGTACTGTTGTTGAGATTGAGATATCTGCCTGGTATTGGTATTGCCTTTACAAAACTCACACAAGGGGCCTGATATTAAAAAATAAATACTTTTGCATTGATTCATTATCAACATCATTTCAGCTACAGGACGTCCACTGCTGAACATAGGCTTTCCCCAATGATTTCCACATCGCCCGATTGGTAGCGACCTGCATCCAGTGCCTTCCTGATACCATTAAAAGGTCATCGGTCCACCTTGGGTGGACGTCCCACGCTGCTGTGCATTGATAGTCAAATCAGAAGTAAAAGCTGGAACTTTTTTGTTTTAACGAGTTAGATGCTAAATCAATTGTTCAACTCAAATCTATCACGGCTGCTTTTAATGTTAGAGTCAGTGTTATATCATTCACTTAAGCATAATGGTAGCTGAAACAGTGATTTGTATTGCTGTAGCCATTTAGCAATTTTATGAGGTAAATTATAGGAAAATTTAAGTTTATTCCGTGAAAATACTAGTCAATTTCAAGTAATCCATGAAGATTCCATCCAGACAGACTGTAATGAAAATTCCAGACAATTCTAAATATCTTATGAAAATTCCAGACAAATCTAAATATCTTACGAAAATTCCAGACAATTCCAAAAAATATATGAAAATTCCAGACAATTCCAAATATTCCACTCAAATTCCAGGCTATTCCAACCCTGGAGCACGCTGCTGAGGAACTGGCAGCTGCTCGCAGTCACACACCCCGGCTACGTGGCGTTCCTGACGTACGACGAGGTCAAGGCGCGGCTGCAGAAGTACATCAATAAGGCTGGNTTCGCGTAAACGCTCTTAATGCGGGTTGCAGACTAACGCCCGAATTCACAAACGATACTAGCTTAAGTGAAGCAGCAATTCGAACGCACAGCGTTGAATTGAGCTCTGCGATTGGTTCGTGTGTCACCCTGTGCGTCCACGCCCACTGAGAGACCTCATAGTAATGTTTGTGAATACGGGCGTAAAACACTACGCAAAACTGTGCAAGCTATGCGACTTAGCTTAGTTGTTGGTCTGCTAATCTTTTTTATACGGGAAAAAAAGCGTTGAATATGCGTTGAATGCATACCTACCCTGCGGGGACAGGGTAGGTTATGTGCGGCAGACTTGGTGGAAATTTTACAACGTATTTTAACCTACTTATCTTGGTTTTGAATAGTCATAGGACTATGCTCATAATTCAAAAAATTAAAAGAGTAGGTACCTACTTTTTTGTGTCCTTTACTTGTGGTTTTTACAACTCTCTAATTTTTATTGTTTGGCTCAAAGGCTAACTGGTAGAATAAACTTGATTGTGATGTAAATCAGTGGTTTATAATTTGAAAGACCGTCGTATGCAGTACATACAGATGACGGCACGTCAACTTAAACAACTTATTTTATTGGAAATAGGTGCGATTCTCCATCAAAAATGTATAGCCCGATGAGTTGACCGGACTTGCCGAATTCTGCACCCCAGCTCATTAAATCAGCGTGGCCGGCCCGGGCAATTTGTTTGTCTGTCTGCTGTCACGGGCAGCCGGCCCCTCTGATATTGGGTTATTAATTCCGGTAATTGCAAAATACGCGCGCCTAGGGCTTAATCCAGTTAGAAACGCCAGGAGGGTTGGTCTTTTAGATCTTTGCTGGATAATGCTGAAGACTTTTTTCTGTAATTGTTGGATACATACATGCGCCTAGGGTGTACGCCAGTTAAAAACCCCAGGAAGAAGATCTGACGCAGAATGTGCACTTCGCAATATGAGCACTAGACTTAAAAGGTGAATTTTTCATAAGGGACACTTCTGGACTTGCCAAATCCTAGCTCATTGAAGCAGCGTGGCCAGATCGGGCAATTTGTTCAGATGCTCAACTATCTTCTTGATTGTTTACTATTTGGTATAAACTTTCATTATTTTAACCATTCCATGTACTTCTTTTAATGTACAACTTTAAGTTGTGTTGTTGTGGCTGATTCTGCCGAGTCTTGGCTCGGACATGTCTATTAGTATTTAATGACGTCATTTTGTGCCTCTGCCTTTGACGAATTAATTAAAAAATATTAGTAATTAAGTGTCAATCAGGACTTGCATATAAAACTCGACGGAATCGAACTGGTCGATTCCTCGAGTGGTCAATCTGATACCTAATTGGGCTACTTTCACCTCTAACGTCTGTTATAGTGTTTAAAAAGGAGCATCAATTTATCTTTCTTCATTAATTGTTCTGAATAATTTCGTTGCGGGGCCAATTGAAGATTTTTTTTATCCCCAACGGGAAAGCTCTTGGCCTGTATCTCACCTAATGGTAAGTGATGATCAGGCCGAAGGTGGAAGCGAGCTTGACCTTCACTGGTTGGGTTTTTATTGGCGTAGATCCTGGCTTCACAGGAGTTGCAGCGGTGGGAATAGTCCCGTATCTTTCTTCGTTTAATAAAATTATCCTCTTGTCCACAGTACCCTGGTGCCATGGAAGATCTTTCGCGAGGAGTTGAACAACGTGCACCCCATCTCGTCGGGTCTGGAGACGATGGCCCTCAAGACCACCATAGACCTCACCTGCAACGACTTCATATCGAACTTTGAGTTTGATGTGTTCACGAGGTCAGTGGATGTACTGTTGTTGAGATTGAGATTGAGATATCTGCCTGGTATTACCTTTACGAAACTCACATAAGGGGTCTAAATATAAATACTTGTGCATTGATTGGCTAAATGTGCGATTAAAAATTCTTGACCAGTTGGAACATTTTTACGTGACAAGTTGGTTACTATGTTTAACTCAAATCTACACACAGCTGCTTTTAATATTTGAGTGTGATATATCCCTCACTTAAGCAAAATGGTATCCGGAACAGTGATTTGTAATTGCTGTAGCCATTTAGCAATTCCAGTTTCAGACAATTTCAAAAAAAATTATGAAAATTCCAGACAATTCCGAAAATTATGTGATAATTCCAGAAAATTATAAATATTCCACTCAAATTCCAGGCTATTCCAACCCTGGAGCACGCTGCTGAGGAACTGGCAGCTGCTAGCGGTCACGCACCCCGGCTACGTGGCGTTCCTGACGTACGACGAGGTCAAGGCGCGGCTGCAGAAGTACATAAACAAGGCTGGAAGCTATGTGTTTAGGTGAGGACATGTTCTTCTTATTGACTTTGCAGGGGATGTCTGAAAAAATTAGACAAACAGGACAAGAACCGTGAACGTCTAGGATTTTGGAGCCGAAAACCCAGAGAGGTTCTTACTATTTAATCTTCTTCTTGCTATCGTGTCAGCCCAAAACTCCGCTACAAGAGTGGCGTTGTCAGCAGCATTCATTAATTCCTCATTTCCTCCTGCGTGCAGTTGCTCGGGCACTCAGGGCACCACATGTGCTTCATCGACTGGGGAACAAAACCGCACCTGCACTCCATGTTTGAGCCATCCAAGAATCCCTATTTAATTAATTGTAATAGATGCAGTTGAAAAAGGTTATCTTAATGTACTTTATTCAGGTGAAATAAATCTCAATAATATCGTAAAAGTACCACATCAATTTTTCAACGTCAGGACATGCCCTGCTGAAATTAGGCCTCTCCTAATGATTGGCAGATTGACCGGTCGGTAGTGGCCTGTATCCAGCGCGTTCCTCCTGCTATCTTTATGAGTTTGTCTGTCCACATCCTCAGAAACAAAACCATCGTCATCACATCACATACTTACTGAAATATATTTTGGTTTCAGGTTATCATGTACAAGACTCGGCCAATGGGCGATAGGCTACGTCACAGTCGACGGGGAAATCCTGCAGACGATACCTCAGAACAAGAGCCTGGTGCAAGCACTCCTTGATGGCTACAGAGAGGGATTGTGAGTATAATTTCTTCATGTTCAATGTTCATGTCAGTCCTTTCGCTCTTGGCAGAGAAATTATGACCATATTGGCCAGACGGATTGAAATCATTCCTGTGTGTGCATATTTGTGCCTTAGTTCTTTTGTCGCCTTTTACGACATTGACTTACAGAGTGTGAGTTGTCCTGTGTTCTACATAAAAGTATACAGGTTGTTTTTAGTTGATCAAACAAATAGGGTGGATTCTACTACTCGAATACGACTACTTATCCCCATAATTAGTATGGAATGGATTTTTAAATAATGAGGGCTATCGTTTTTATACTTAACAGTTGGCACCCCTGGCGATTGACAGGACCTTACTCTACAGTGGCGCCATCTTGATGAGTGCAAAATAATGCGATAGTCCTCCTACCACTTTAGCGCTCACCAGTTGGTGCCACTGTCTTCGCTACTAGCAAGTGACAGGACCTTACTCTACAGTGGCGCTAACTGGTGAGCGCTAAAACGATAGCCCTCATTAAACTTTGTCCCTTCGAAAAAATGGTTTCATTTGAGCAGAGCAATTCTTTTTGTTTGATCAAGTATAAAAAATTGCACACATTTTACATAATTTAACGTATTATCTTGTAGCTTCAAACCAAATGCTACACATTTCTCGCTGCCCATTATTGGCCCATGACTCAGGTAAGCTAACCTCGCAATTGGGCCATAAATGGACACACATACTTATACATTATACTTGTACACAGTTATGAATCAGCATCGGATTGCGATGCAGATATCTTATGCAGATGTGACATGAATAAACATACAGTTGTGCAATATTGTTGATTCAATGAGCGAGAAACAAAAGTCGAACCACTATTATCCATCTCTCGAAGGTTACATTGTCGGAGTAAATATAAATTTTCTATTAGTTTTTTTCATTAATTCAGTAATAATTAAGGATTTGTCAGCAGGGCATAAACAAAAAGAATGTCTAGACCGCACCGTTTAGCCCGGTGAATAACTCACAGATCCGCCCCAAAGACTTTGGAGTAAAGAACACCATCAGGTTTTAATGAGTAGGCCCTGCCCATCTGGCAGGGAGAACCTCGCATAACCCATTGTTTCCCCCGGGGTAGTGGGTATGCAATTTATTTGCATTTCCTGACGAAGAAACAGGATAAAAAGTATGTCCGTTTGTTGAAGATTGTCTATGAGCCAGGGTCTCGTCATGTATGTCTCGTTGGACATGGAAAGAGCAACCCTGAAGGGCAGCCTTAATATTATAAGTACACTGACTAAAATCTCCGACGAAGAGATTACATTACAAAACTCCCCGCACCCCGCGCTTCCCTCGACCAAAAAGTGGTGGGCGTGTCTTCGTGGATGAAACGATCTAATATACTAATATACTCCTTTACAATTTCCAGCTACCTATATCCAGACGGGCGGGATGTGAACCCGGACCTCAGCAGCGCGATTATATCGCCGGCGGAGGACCATATCACAGTCACGCAGGAGCAGTACGAGTTGTATTGCGAAATGGGTCAGTATCACAAACTATTATTTGACAAGATTTTGAAATTACTTGATGGACTGACGACCTCAAGATGATAGCTGGCAACTGCTGTATGAATAAAGCAAAAAGACTAGAACTTGTTCGAAGATCCGACGACCTCATAAAATTCATGCACGAGCAGTACGAGCTGTATTGCGAGATGAGTCAGTGTCACTGCTTGCTCTATTACTTGCTCGATGGACTGACGACCTCAAGATGATAGCTGGCACCTGCTGGATAAAAAAGACAAAAAATGACACAAACTATTTTTTAGACTTTAGAACTTGCTCGATAGACCGACGACCTCATAAAAGTCAATGGAGCAGTACGAGCTGTATTGCGAAATGGGTCAGTATCACTGCTTGCTTGACTAGCACCTGCTCAATGAACCGACGACCTCATGATGATGGCTGGCAACTGCTGTATGAAGAAAGCAAAAAGACTTTAGAACCTGCTCGATGAACTGACAACCTCACAATAGTCACGTAGAAGCAGTACGAGCTGTATTGCGAAATGGGTCAGTATCACTGCTTGCTAGACTAGCACCTGCTCGGTGGACGGACGACCTATATCCAGACGGGCGGGATGTGAACCCAGACCTCAGCAGCGCGATTATATCGCCGGCGGAGGACCACATCACAGTCACGCAGGAGCAGTACGAGCTGTATTGCGAAATGGGTTTGTAACCTTAAACCTTATTCCAAAGAAATAAAGTTCAAAAGACGTAGTGGTCCCGGCTAATCTTGTCAGCCTCCCATTAATTGGTGGCGTAGATGGACGCCCTGGTAGTTTCTAGAACCTAAGGCGCCGAATACTATGCATCAGAGAACACCCCAGGTTTTTAGTAGCTTTGAGTACCACCACCATTTGAGGCCATTTTCCTGGGTTAAAGGCGCAAGGCCAAAAATCTGGTAAATAACTCGGAAAAGTACCTGGATGCGGGCAGCGCAGGACCGGTCGCTATGGAAATCCTTGGGGGAGGCCTTTGTCCAGCAGTAGACGTTATTCGGCTGAAACTAAAGGTCAAAATCCATTGGAAAACTTCGTTCTTAACTGAGGAAGCGGCACGGGAGGGGTGTTTTTATGACGTCAAACGTCAGGGAGAGTTCAGAAGTGCTTGCTTCGCGACTATGCGACGGGCGCCCGCAGTGAGTGTGCGAGCGCGACAGCAACACAATTACGCGCGAGCGATAAGGATGGGTAGCTTGGGGTCATTGGACAAAATTCTACGTGCTCACAGACCGGGCTTTAGTAGACCTGTACTAGGTTAAAGTTCTGTGTTCTGTACAAATATTGATTAATATTCCGTACTATGGGCTACAGTTCCATTTCCGGCTATGTCGTCTCATTCTATCGCAAAGAATCGCCATTTAATGAGAGCGAGAGAAAAAACGGAAATGGGTAGCTGGAAATGTGGCTCACTATTCATTATAGTAAAATAAAAAATATAATTTCTTTATTCAAATTCCAGGTAGCACGTTCCAGTTGTGCAAGATATGCGCAGAGAACGACAAGGACATCAGAATAGAGCCGTGCGGGCATTTGCTATGCACGCCGTGTCTCACCGCTTGGCAGATTGTAAGTAACATAGTTTATACACCACATTTCAGTCTGGCTAGCATGCGTTCCGTGATAAAATCTTATCGACAAATGTGTGGGTTTATCACGTAAGATCAATAAAATGTCCCGATTAAAAATTGTCGTAGCGCACATCCTATGCTCATAGGCGCGAATCACACTATAGTAAAACACTAAGTAAAACTACAACAATCAAAATATGCACTTGTGACGTCACACTTTCAGCATAAAAATAAAAATTTTGACGATAACTTCTCAAATTGTTCAAGAAAGAAAGAAAAATAGTTTAAAAATAGTTTTAAAGGTAAATTGTTCACGTCTTGACTTCTATCCTTTTAGTGTTCTTTCTGGTCGACAATAAAAACGTCGATGCCTTGAGAACTCGATAGATATACATGTTACATGTCACCATTTTACCTATGATTCACAAATAAAGATTTTGTATATTTGTATAATTGTCAATATTAACAATATTCCCTATTTTACAGGACTCTGAAGGCCAGGGCTGCCCGTTCTGCCGAGCGGAGATAAAGGGCACAGAGCAAGTTGTGGTCGACGCCTTTGTGCCGCCTCGTCCGCCGCCGCAGGACGCTAAGTGAGTCTTCTTTACTATTTTATGGTTCCGTACCTCAAGGGCTTAGAGCAGTCTTTCCCAAAGTGGGCGATAACGCCCCCTTGTGGGCGCTGCAGGCTTAAAGGGGGGAGGTAAGAGCCCCAGAAAAAAAATCGGGACGTTGTGTAGAGGCTTGGGAGGCGTCATCTACTAGGAGGACTCTTAGACACCGACTGAGCTCGACTCTTGACTACAAAAATGGGGGGCGCTAAAAAATAAATTATTCTCAAAGTGGGCAGTAGACTAAATAAGTTTGGGAACCACTGGCTTAGAGGAATAAATAAAACTGTATCAGCTAGCGCTCATGTAGTGTAAAATCGTGGTAATTTAACGGACTCAAATTCTCCAATCACCAACGTCAAAGCTGGTGGACTGGCTGCTCGCTTTTTGGTGTGACCTGGGTAGGTTGGAGTAGTAAGATAAACAATAAATCACGAAACTAGATCAACATGTAAGTCCAATAATATACTCCTCTTCATGTGCCATGCCGTTGCATTCTGTTTGTATAGTTCTTGCAACTCACGAAGGCGAGTGAGCTTTACTTCTTTCGTACTTTATCAAACATTTTCACTCATGCAGTCCATCACAGTCTTTTCATTTTATTGTAAGCACCACTCTCGCCGTCAAAGAAGATTAAATTTTTTTTTTTATTATTAACTAAGCCACGCTTTGCTATTTTCAGAAACACGAAGACTGCCGTCAAAGCCGTATCGTCAAACTCTTCCGGGTCCTCTGGGTCTTCAGGGTGCAACGGATCAAGTAAGTAACACAACCATTAGCATTATTTGATAATGATTACTGACAGACAAAAATATTAATTAATGACTAGCTTCGCCCGCGTCAATGACAGATATGTCAAAATCCACCAATCACGCAGCATTTGGACCTCGCGTCTACGTATTGCCATCTGGCGGATTTTTAAATCGCGAAAACCCTCATTTTTAAAACTTAATTGCGTGCGTTACTGTTTCAAAAACATTGATAAAAACTATCCTCAACAAAATCGGTTCCGTGGATTTGGTGTAAAAAGTAACAAATAGACACACAGATTTACTTTTGCATTTATTTTTGTAGCAAAATAGTACCTATTGCGACTACGTAAAATGTCACAGTATTATAATACTTCCATTTAATGTGTTTCAGGTGCAGAAGTGACAATTTCTAGCAATTCAAACGGGTGGTCTTCTAGAAATACTACCTTCAACGGCCTGACTGATGACATCGACGATGCTGAGGTAATTTGACGCTTATATTATTGACAGCAGAGTTCATTTTCAATTGTTAACTTGTTCTTAGATGCAGTAGGTTTCATAGACAAAAATATAGAAGTTAAATATTGCCTACTAAAGCCTGGTCCGTGAGCACGTAGAATTTTGTCCAATGACCCCAAGCTACCCATCCTTATCGCTCGCGCGTAATGTTTAAAATACTAAAACCTGGTCCGTGAGCACGTAGAATTTTGTCCAATGACCCCAAGCTACCCATCCTTATCGCTCGCGCGTAATTATGTTGCTGTCGCGCTCGCACACTCACTGCGGGCGCCCGTCACACAGTCGTGACAGCAACATAATTACGCGCGAGCGATAGGGATGGGTAGCTTGGGGTCATTGGACAAAATTCANAGATAAACTATCCTCGTGCCGGCCGGCAATCCGACCGCGTGACCATTTTGAGAAAAAAATACACTGACACTGACAGTTGACGTTACCTGTCTACCGTGGCGGAATTGACCATAGAGTATTGAATGAGTATGGTCGTATCATTTTTGCCATTGTAAAAAAACTACCCGGTAAATGGGGAAAGAAAAATTTGTACTTGGGTAAGTACATTAGGCAGTTACTCTTGCTATGTAGTTTAAATGTCAGGTCTGAACTACTATGCTTAGTTTGTACTTGTACAAGTACGCGGGGACTTAGGAGGTTAACTTCGGCACTGTTTGAACACAGTCCACATTGAATCAGCAATATTAAAAGCAGTCGAGTCAGCCCGCCATGTTGGTTTTGTCAGCCATTTTGATGTTATTGGTATTAACGTCAGCATTGTTAGTGTTAGACTCTTTCTATCCCAAGTTACTAGGTTTTGTTCCCAGATGATCTCAACAAATTAGGTTTACTTGAAATTATATCATTCTCTAATAATTTTAACTGCAAAAGAACTGATAGCTGATCATGAGAAGTTCTAGAATTAATATTTATCTGAAGACCGAGTCTTAGTAAGGAAAGTGTACTAAATTTTACTCATGCTAGAAGAAAATAGCCAAGAATCGAGGTTATCTGGGTCAGCAGAACATACAAGATAGAAGTTCTGGCATTTCCATGGTGGAAAAACATAGACAAGGATCGGGCTCATCAGTAGAGAGGAAGAAGAAGAAGAAAAAGAGGCTTATGACGGCAGTAGAATGATAATGATGATAATCAACAACTAAACTTAATAGTTCCAAAAACAAATTAATTTGTAGCTTTATCACTGGAAAATTACCAGCTATCTATATTCATCCTCAACAAACATACAGTCTGTAACTGGAAATGAAAGTCCTCAATGTACAGTCATCAGAATCTTCAGACTATTCGTTTTTGTTGTAAACTCGAACCTATTACAACGGCATAATACCATGACATGTCTGCACAGACGAGAGCACATCAAGCTAACACTGTTTTGATCTATCTTATGTAATTGCGTTGAGTTGAGTTGAATTGGGTTGAGTTTGCAGCAAAAATGTATACCTACTCTGATATGCTGTCGCCTGTACAAACTGAAAGTGGAAATGAAAATTTAATTCCGACAATGGGATCAGCCG